CCTCTCCAATTTACTTTCTAAGTAAACTATATTTTCTAATCTTAAAAAAACCCTACAAAAACGAAGCCTAGAGGTTGAGACATATGTTGTGTAAGACTGTTCATTCTGACCAAAATACTTGGCCCTTTGTGGTCAGCATCAACTAAAGGCAAGATCCTACCTCCCCCTTCCCCCACTGAAGCTTGGTTATACCCACTTTCCCTAGCCTCTCCTACCCGTAGTATCCTGCCTCCACCTTTCATTCGGGTGTCTGCCTTATACAAGCATTTGAAACTTGTGGGAATCCCCAGGCACTTACAGCCTCCAGACTGGTCAAGAGAGAATTGAGTATGGAAGCAAATTCCAAAGATAGAGTATTTCTTTGTCTCTTATATCTGGCCCCAGGGCCAGCAGGGCAGGTTTCTGCAAGTTTCACTGTCATAAGCTGCTTTCCCCCAAGCAGGCCACAAAGCAGTCTGGGAGAGCAGGAAGCAGATTAAATTAATCTCAGTGTGCTGAACTTGGCAGGGGGTGAGACTGTGTTTGGTCATTCCAGAAATAGCCCAAACTCCTTTGTTACTGAAGCAGAGGATGAGCTATGGCCTACAAGATAGCAAAGCAGATAGCTGTGAATCTTTGTGTTTTCATAAAACACTCTCCCTTCTGTCCCTTGGAGTCTGTCTCTCCTAGGATTGGCCCCAGGTTTATAACGGGGAGGGATGGTTTCTAAAGTTGTATTGAAAGAGTTTTTGAGTCTGTTCTCTCAAGATTTTTTAAAACCAAGATTCCAAAAACGGTTTGCTTCCCAGAATTAACATGTTGGCTCTGGTGTATTTGGCATGAGGAAAGAATCTGACCTCAAGAGTTATCCCATATCTCACGGGGAGCATTAATAGGCACACATCTGTGACAGGAAGAAAAGGGGAGCAAGGATAGAGAGGTCCAATCAAAGGAAACAAGGTATCAGAAGCTATTTGGTGATGAATGTTGGTGAAAGGCAGGAGGTGGGAGTGATCCCAGAATTCAAGGCGAATGGATTAATTCCGTGGAGGAATTAATTAATCCAAACGAGGGACTCACTCATTTCCCTCCACCTGTGCTCTCAAGCAGAGGTGCAACTGTCTTCAAAACAAACACCAAAAGACAAAAATCTTACGAGCCAGATCTCTTAGAAGACTATACTTGATGGCTTATGCTTTTGACTGGGTACCTGATATTTAAAGATGTAGGCAAAGAGGAACTAGAATGATGATCAACGTGCAACCTTTTAATACAAGAAATGGTTGAAAGAGAGGCGGTTTAACTTGGAGGAAAGAAGATGTACTGGGGTCATGAGTAACATCCTTGTGACACCAGGAACATTTCCTGAGCACATCCTTGTAGCTAGCACTTCATTGCTATTCACTCTCATGTAGTCCTCACAGCGCCACTCTATGGTAGGTATTAGTATCCTTATTTCATAGCCAGTGAAACTGAGGCTTGGAAAGGAACAATGATTTCCCATGATTCACTCAGTGATAGAAACCAGTCTCTAAACCAGGTCTAAGCCAGCGTTTTTGTTCATTATACAAATCTGATTGGCCTTGTTCTCTCTGGGCTTAAGGAACAAAACCAGGATAACTGGGCAGAAAGTAATAGAAAGATAGATATCTGGCTTATTACTAATGTGATGTCCAAGGTGGGAACAAACTATTTCAAGCGTAATGAATTCTTTGCCACTAGAGGTATTCAAACAAGTGCCAAAAAATCATTGGGTGGGAGTACTATAGAGACTGTTCAAACATTGGTAAGAGATCAGACGGACCTTCCAGACCTGCGGTTCTATACTCTGCAGTTCATTGGATTCATTGGGGAATATTTTATTAGGTCGGACAACTGGGAGGAAATAGCTATCCTCTAAAAGTAAAAGTTTACCTTTTGTAGTGAGCTTTGTATTTTAACAACAGTTACTCATTTTATTTATTTGTTTTTAGTTGGAGTCTCTGTTGCCCAGGCTAGAGTGCAGTAGCACGCTCACAGCCACTGCAGCCTCGACCTGCTGGGCTCAGGTGATCCTTCCACCTCAATTTTCCAAGTAGCTGAAACTATAGGCATGTACCATCACATTGGGCTAATTTTTTTTTATTATTATTATAGAGATGAGGTCTCGCCAAGTTGCCCAGGCTGGTCTCCAACCTATAGGCTCAGGCAATCCTCTCACCTTGGCCTCCCAAAGTGCTGGGATTATAGGCGTGAGCCACCGTGCCCAACACAGTTACTCATTTTAAAGAAAATATATGTCTCTTTGCATGTGTATATATATTTATATATAATATAAAGGTAGAGAAAATATAATTGTGTACATGCAGACTTAAATATTTCAAAATTAAAAGCAGAGAAACTTAATTTGATTGTCATTAATTCATCCTCCTAGTTATGAATAGATTTTTTAAAGTTCTCAAACATCTTTATAATTTAGAAAGACTAACTCAAAGAGAAGAGAATTATTTCCATTCTATAGAAAGGCTAAAACCTTAATTTTTTTTCAAATAAATACAGACACTTAAGGGAAATTTTCTAACTTGCTGGTATGACTATGTCTCAAACAAAAGTAATTTTTTTTTTTTAGTTGGGGTCTCACTCTGTCCACCAGGCTGGAGCACAGTGGCACGCTCACAACTACTCCAGTGTCAACCTGCTGGGCTCTAGCAGTCCTTCCACCTCAGCCTTCCAAATAGCTGGAACTACAGGCACACACTACCATGTCCAACTAATTTTTTATTTATTGTAGAGACGAGGTCTTAACAAGTTGCCTGGGCTGGTCTCAAACCCGCAGGCTCAGGCAGTCCATTCACCTCGGCCTCCCAAAGTGCTGGGATTACAGGCTGAGCCACCAAGCCTGGCCAAAAATTAATTTAAAAAAAAAGCCTCACAGTCCCATCTATTGGATGATTCTTTCTCAGCTCTTGAGGTTAGTTGAATTATGGAAAGCTGAGTACTAGACATGTCAAAGTCAACTCTTTTTCATTAAAAAAAGGTTTATCCTAGTTTATTGAGCATTAGAGCCACTAGTAAGAAAATGAGCTCAAGGGGACCCAAACCTATTGTGACCCAGTTATAGATCTTTTCTAAAATGTGCCTATTTTGAGCTCTCCATGCTATATATAATGAGGCACTATGAATTCCTATTCTGTGGTAGTATTCTGGATCCTTAACATGAAATAAGAGTATCTTCATATGAAGTTTTATGCAAAAGTTACCCATAACAAAGTGTACTGAAGTTATCTTTAAAGTATATCTCTCACTCCCTCTCACACACACACACACACACACACACACACACACACACTGGGTTATGCTTAATATTAATAGGCTTGCTTCAATAAAGAAATAGCTTTTTCTTTCTTTTTTTCTTTTTTAGGAAGTTCCAGGTTAAAGGCAACCTCAGCTCACTGGGCAGTTGGTGTAGAACAGCCCTGGGCAGGGGGCGGGGAGAGAGTTACAAAAATGAGGAGATGAAGTCTTGCACCTCTAAGACCATGAAGCAGCTCAAGAGAGATGCTGCTGGAAGTGGAAGAGAGGAATTCCACTGTGTTGTGGTTGTGTGTAGGCACCTTGTCACACTTTTGGAGCCCTCCATTAGGTCTTTTACAGGAAAGCTAGCAGCCCCATGGAGAAGGAAAACTTAGGAAAGTTTGTCAGCAGGAAAAAAATCTCAGATCTGCCTAGCAGCTTCCTTGGTGGAGAAATAGAATATATGCACATCTTAATACAGTGACCCCAAATAACCTGTCTCTGAAGAGTCAGATCCACATGATAGTGTTTACTTAGGATTCAGCCCCCAAATTCCCTTAGCATCAATTTCTGGGTTCAGTGCTATGATATAGTACACTCCTCCAAATCAGAGAAGTTTCATTTAATCTTTCTCCCCCAAATTCTATCACATTGTAAGCCCTATGCCTCGTTCAGCTTCTTGTCCTGGTTTTAGATGTCACCTTGAATATTTAATTTTTCTCCCTCAAACTGAATGGTACCTCATTTGTCCAAATCAATATTGACCAATATTTTTTTTTTTTAATGAGAAAGTAGGATTTATTGAGAGGACAGAAAAGCTCCCACCATGGGAGGGGACCCAAAGGGGTTGCCCTTGACCAAGATTTTACCTCCTTAAAGATAGAATTCCTGTCTGTTCTACCTAGTTAAACTGTCCTTAGCAGACGTGGGAAATTAAGAAACACTGGCTGGTTAAGCATTGTTGCAGAACATTATACTCACTCTTGGTGTGTCCACTGAAATTGGACCACTTTTAAATGGGTCGTGGAGGGAGGGGACTGCTGGTCTGCATTGTCTTTTGGCTCCATGAAAAAAGCCAGGCATAATTTGAGTCCTTGCTGCCCCTCCCTGTACTGGGACTCTGGTTCTGATCTCCCCTGCTTTGTTTTCCTACTCTCCCTCATGCAGAGACAGGGCAGGGCATTGTTCATGCACTGACCGACCTCAGCAGCCCCGGCATGACCTCAGGGAACGGAAACTCTGCCTCCAGCATCACCGGCACTGCCCCCCAGAATGGTGAGAATAAACCACCACAGGCCATTGTGAAACCCCAAATCCTGACGCATGTTATCGAAGGGTTTGTGATCCAGGAGGGGGCGGAGCCTTTCCCGGTACGGACTACTTCTTTTCCCCTCTTTTTTAAAAGTATATTTTGGATGTGTCTTAGAATATTTTTACATTTCCATGTAAAATTTCTGAAAATGTGAACAATATGCTCTTTCCTTGCTAATTTCCTCCTCCAAAGAATGCAGAGCCATTTCTTTCTAGGATTGAGTATCTTTCCAAGGTCTAGCAGGGGGTCAGTAATCAGGAATAATTGGCAAGACCCCCTGGTTAGAAGTTTCTGCACACAGACTCAGTTGTGTCCCTGCCTGGTGACATGAGAACCCTTGGTTAAAAGGGAGTTCACTTTGAAGTATTTGGTGACAGATGAAAGACTTTGGGAAATTAGACCTCTTCTAGATGCCAAAACCTCTGGCCAATTAGACCTCATCTAAATGGCAAAACTTTGACCAATTAGAGCACAAAGGAACCTGCACAGAACAGAACTTTCAAGAAACATATATCAGAAATGAAGACGGGGGCAGGGTCACAGCCTGAAGCTTGTGTTCTGGGGGTAGAGCCTTGAAAGGGGAGTGAATGAGACTGAGAGACAGTGAAAGAGGGCACAATTCTATAATTAAAGCATAAGACCAGGGGAAATAATCAGAGAGTCACAAAGCTGAGTTACCAGAACAAAGCACTCAGAGCTGCTGCTATGCAGTGTGCACTGGAAGACAGGTACAGCTCTGCAGGTGTGAAGGAGCCCAGAGCCAAGTGCACACTAGCCTCTTTTCTGATGAAGAGTATCTGGCTATTAGAGACACACCATCTTTCTGGGATACAATCTGCCTTTTGCTCACTCTTTGGATCCATGAGTGGTTTGGTTAGTCAGCAGAAGACTCTGAGCTTGATTAATTGAGATCGGTGAACTGCCCTTGTAAAACACCAAAAGACAAACAGGTTATTGTCCTCTTCTCCTCTGGAGGTTGTCCTAGGCCAGTAGCAAAGAAATCCACCTGGAGCACCTTACCTAGAAGTAGCTCTAGCTCTGTTATATCCCTTCCCTCATTATTAGACTGGGTCCTCCCCTTGGCCTGCTGAAATAACACTAGAAACCAACCGATCACATGGGGTGGAAACAGATTGAGTGGTGTCCCCAGCATCGCTGAGTCAGACACCATGTGGTCTGGCCACCAGGTTGCATGAACTAAGGCAACAAAGGAAAATCCAAAAGCACGAATACACTGCTCTGGGATCCTGACAGCTGCAGAGGGCACTGCTCTGTGGCCCAGAGTTTTTCCCTGCTCTCCTCCCTGGCTGCCTGTACCTCTGGCTTGGGTCAAGCAGTGGTAAGGTAGAGAACAGCAAGAAATCAGAAAACAGGTGCTGAGTCTCTTTCGTACAAGAGTCTCGCACAAACTCAGCTCTGTCCCTGCCTCGCAGCGTGTGAGCACTGGATTTCGGCACTTGATCTGGTGCTGTGAGAAACCTGATCTCTGCCTCCATCCCTGCCCTGAGCCTCTTGGAAGAATAGATACTCTCCTAACCTCCTGAGCCATCCATTGAGCCTGGAGCAAAGCCAGCCCCGTGCTTTGTAGCCCATTAGTATCTTAGCTCATGAGCTAAACTGCAAAATAGGCCCTGCGCAGGGCACACTTGGATGATGGCATGGGGGAGGCTTGAGGAGGGCTGGCATCTGTGCCTGGGTACTTTATACATGTCATTGTGATGAGGCTGGATAGCAAGGCAGCATCTCCCACCTGACCCTCATGACCTCTGTGTTGCCTGTCCTCTAGGTGGGACGCTCGTCCCTGCTGGTGGGGAATCTCAAGAAGAAGTATGCACAGGGGTTCTTGCCTGAGAAACTTCCACAGCAGGATCACACCACCACCACTGACTCGGAGATGGAGGAGCCCTATCTGCAAGGTAGGCATTGCAGACCCTGCATCTTCAGGCCTTCCAATTTGGCTTGAAAGGCAAGCCTCACATACTTCCTCTCTTGGTGTCCACGGGAGACTCTGAGCCAGGGAGTCTGTAAACATTCCCACCTACTGTACATGCACCCAGTGCCTCCCAGCCTCCATCCCTAGAACACAGGATAGAGAAATCAGGGCAGCCATCTGTCCCTGCTTCTCCAACCCCAATCTAGCCAACCTCAGGATTCAAAAGTGTCTTTTCCTGTGGGAATCATTGGCAAGTTATAGAAGTGGAAGTAGGAGCGGCCCCAGGTGAGCTGTGCCCTGTCACTGCCTTGGAAGCCTGACTTGGGACTGGGGGCACCTCTGAGGCACCACAGTGGTCAAACAGAGTTGTACTTCACAAGAACCACTGACTGCCAAGGGGCTGCGCCGTTGCAGGAGGTCAGCTCCTGGGTTCTATTCTCTAGCTAGATGAATTAAGGTAGGGAGGGAGATCCCAGAAGAGCCACTGCAACAGCGTCCAGAGCAGTTCTGAAGGGCCTCTCGCCTTCTTCCGTGGTCATTTGGTGCTGATTCTCCCCTACCTGTGTTTTGCCTCAGGCTCAGAGCACTTGGAAAAGAAAAATGTCAAGTATACAGGGGCCTCACCACTCTCAAGTACTTCCCAGAGGGGAAATATAGCTCTTCCAGAAACCATTTGGCATTTTCCAAGCTAGACTGCTGCTTTATGGCACCGCTGTGGGAAGGAGGAGGGAGGCTCCTGGGCTGTCCACAGTCCTGCAGGAATTTCTCCACACTTACGCATTTACATACTTTTCAGAATCCAAAGAGGAGGGTACTCCCCTCAAACTCAAGTGTGAGCTCTGTGGCCGGGTGGACTTTGCCTACAAGTTCAAGCGTTCCAAGCGCTTCTGTTCCATGGCCTGTGCAAAGAGGTGAGTGGCCTCAGCCCCTTCCATTTCCTCAGGATTGCGCCTTTGTATCCTGCTTTTAAGTCCCACCTCTTTCCAGTAACAGTCTACCCCAGGAGGCCATAGGTTTGCTTAGCCAGTGTCCTGTTTTCTTGTCCTGCCGGACTGCATCCCTAATTTACTAGCACAAGAAACCAGAACCCCTAAGAGCAGATGGAGAGAGAGCAGCACAGAGGCCAAGGAAAAGCAACAGCGGTGCTTTGGCTTATCTGGCTCTTCTGGGTCCTGCTGCTACCCATTCCCCTTTCCTGCCCTTGATGGCTCCCACCTCCTTAGGGTAAGCCCTCCAGGAGAAACTTTGCCCAGACTGCAACAGTAGTTACATTGCTCCCTTTGCAAACTTTCACTCAGCTTAGAAGACGAAGTATCATGACAAAAACCACTGTCATATATTGAGAGCCTTCCGTGTGCCCGATGCTGTGCTAGTTCATTGATGTGCATTATCTCATATTAAAATAATTCCACCAGGGCAAGCATTGCTGCTGTCTTTTTACCCAGATTAGGAAACTAAGGCACAAAGGCAAAGAAGTTGTGCCTAAAATGACATGGCTAATAAGTCACGGACCTGCAGGTTTAAGCACATCTGATTCTAAAGCCTTATGTGGTCTTTGTACCAAGGTGGAAGAGGCACTTTACCTTGAAGCCGTGAGCCCCCAAAAGAAATCTCATTCCCCTTAGGCTGTCCTGGAGGTGGCCAGGGCACCTTTGTCAAGTTTTGCCAAGCTACTCTCCAACAGGACAATGAACAGTAGTTTCCTGGCACAAGTAGTATTTATAGTAGAGTATTTCACCTGTGGGCTCTCACCATGATCCAAATTGTTGTATCAAACATTTTACAGACATTATATCATTGTGAAACTAGTTTTAGAAAGTGAGTGGTATCACCCCTGACTCCAGATAAGGAAAGAGAGGCTTAGCACTTAAGAAACTCACACAGCCAGTAGTAGGTTATGGAGTTAGGAATTGAACCAATAGATGGACTCAAATTTTGCTAGACAGCTTGGCTGCTCTCATTGTGCCTAGGGCCCATCAGCCCTATAACTGCTGTGACTTCCTGTTTCCTGTCTCTGACAGGTACAATGTGGGATGCACCAAACGAGTGGGACTTTTCCACTCAGACCGGAGCAAGCTGCAAAAGGTGGGTGCCACGACCCATAACCGCCGTCGGGCCAGCAAAGCCAGTCTACCAACACTTACCAAGGATACCAAGAAGCAGGTAAGAGGCTGGCAGAGCCTGAAGCTCCTCTCTCACAAGTCCTACAATTTCCCTTCTTACGTGACCCTAGACACCCACATTCCCTTCTAGCTGCTGACTTCAGTGTGCTATATCATGTTCTTGTGTTTCATCGTTTTGTCAAGTCAAGTCTTCCCTGTACCCCTTAGCAGATTCGCTCCTATAGGTCTAAGGACACTTGTGAGGTACTTCAGTGGCTTTGCCCCAGTATCACTCCTCATCTTCCAGTTTGCTTCCATCCTCACTCCTGGGGCCATGGAAATGACATCTCCCCTAGGCTGTTGAGGTGACCTCCTGTCTTACCGGGAAAGCTAGGTGAGACAGCAGCCTCCACCCTTTACCTTGCCACCTTGTGGCTCCCTGGACATTAGAGCACTGAGTTCTTGAAGTTCTCTACAAGAAACACAAGTATTCAGACAATAAATATTTTTTAGCACTAGCTATATGCCAGGAATTCTGTTAGGCACTAAGGCTCCAAGGACACAATCTTGCCTTAAAGGAGTTCATATCCTAGTGTGATATCTCATAACTTTATGTGTATTTTGCTGATTGTTTTTGTCTTAAACCTCAAGAATCTATGGTCCAAAGCTATGGTCCAAAATGTGCATACACAAGAAATTTTACATGCTATTTCAGGTGGTCCATGGAGCACCTGAAACTCAGAGTCCTGACTTAAGACCCCACATCCAGAAGAAAATATAATTTTGGTACAATATGGTACATACTACAACACTGGGAGAGACTAACTCTGCCTAGGGTCGGAGAGGGCACAGCACAGAAGATGCTATTTGATCTAGAAACTCAAAGATACATAGTAATCAACCAAGTAGAAAGGGGAGACCTGTCTTTGTCCATCACTGCTGCTGAGAAAACTTTTTCTCTGCTCCCAGCCAACAGGCACTGTACCCCTTTCAGTTACTGCTGCTTTGCAGCTAACACACAGTCAGGAAGACTCCAGCCGTTGTTCAGATAACTCAAGCTATGAGGAACCCCTGTCACCCATCTCAGCCAGCTCATCCACCTCCCGACGGCGACAAGGCCAGCGGGATCTAGAGCTCCCCGACATGCACATGCGAGACCTGGTGGGCATGGGACACCACTTCCTGCCATGTGAGCCCACCAAATGGAACGTAGAAGATGTCTACGAATTCATTCGCTCTCTGCCAGGTAAGGCCCTTGGAAGTTCCATGCCTGCCTGGAATAGTCAGAAGACAGAGAGAGTAAAAGACCTTCCTTCCCATCATCAGGAGGATTAGGTAGTTTACTTAATGACTCAGGTCTAGGAGCTAGAGTACAGAGATGAATAAGATGAGGTTCCTGCCTATAGAGTTTATATTGTAGGGTAGAGCACAAACTGTAAGATTCTATAGCTATAATTTGATATATTTTCTGGCATGGCAAGTGGTCTCTGAAATGCAGAGACTGTAATGTAATTAATCCTGTCTTTCCTGGGACAGGTTGGGAGGGGAGTCAGGTAGGAGTGTAGGAAATCTGTCAAAGAGAACTTCAAAGTCAAAGAAATGTAAACTGAATGACAGTGAACAAGTATGCCTTTGCCAAATGGAGGGACTGCATGAGGGAGTGGTTGAGCAGAGGCATGGCTTCATACAAGCCCATGATGCAGCGGGGCATGGCCTACAACCCCGGGTGGTGGAGCACAAGTGGTGGTGAGGGTCAGAATCTAGAAACAAACCTTGATAGGCAAGCCTTACGTCATTCCCAGATGCTTTCAGTGGGATTCAGACACTTCTATGCTATTTTTCTGCCAGTTTCACCCATAACTGACCAGGTCTGGTATTGATGGCAACCACAAGCCTCTTACTCAGAGACTGGAGCATGGTTAAGAGCACAGACTTATGAATCACACAGAATGGGGTTCAAATCCTGGCTCTGTTACTTAATTCAATGTGTTGTCTATTACTGCATTCCCAAGAGTTGTTATCACACAGTTGCTGTGGATAAGGAATACAGGAGTAGTTTGCCTTGGCCTCAGGTTCTCTTAGGAGGTTGTGATTAAGATGTCAGCCAAGGCTGAGGTCACCTGAAGTCTTTACTGGGGCTGTAGAATGCTCTTCCAAGTTGCCTCACTTACATGATTTGCAAGTAGGGGCTGGCTGTTGATAAGAGGCCTCTCCAGAGAGCTGCCTGAGTAGTCTCAGGACCTGCATGGCAGCAGGTTTTCCTACAGGTAGAGCTCCCAGAGAGCAAGGCAGAAGCCATTGTGCCCTTTATGATCTAACCTCAGAAGTCACATACTGGCATGTTCACATGTTACTGGTCACACAGGTCAGTCCTGATCATTGTGTGATGAGGATCCTCACGAGACCATAAATACTGGGAAACAAGGATTATGCAGGCATTCAGAGACCAACTGCCATAGTTCACCACTAGTTTCCAGTGATTCATGTTCCTTCCTCATGCAAAATACTCTCACCCCCTACCAAAGTCCCAGAGGTCTCATCTCATTACAGCATCAGTTTGAAACCCAGAATCTCAGGTCCAGGCATAGAAGAGAATCCTTGTGTCTAGCTCTCCAAGTGTGGTTCCTCAGTCTGAGGACCTGAGAACTAGAGATAAAGGTTATCTGCTGCCCTCCACAAACCCAATACCTAGTGGAATAGGCATAGGATAACCATTGTAGACATGTCCATTCACAAGGGGGAAAGCAGTTCTGAAATCCAGTAGGGCACATGCTGGCATTTCCTTGATTAGGATTCAAAGTCTGGGAGTGAGTCCCTTTTACTCTTTGTTCCGCCCTCTGAGTTATTCTTCCTTTTCTGTAAATGGTAGCCTACATTTTCAGCCTAGTGGTTTTCTCAGCTTACTTCCCACTTCTTTTTATCTTATTTTACCGCAGACCCTTAAAAATCAGTAATTCATTATTGCTTAAAATCTTTATGGGCTTTCTGTGAATCCTGTTGGGGTTCATTCCATTATACCAGAACTACACCCAGAATTGTCTTCATGATAAAGTGTTTGGTCTACATTAAGCTACTTCTGAAAGGACAGAGCCCTTAAGATTCTTAGATGCTCTACTGTTGACTAGAGAGGCTCTGTGAGGTACACCCCAACTCCTTTGGATTGAGTAGTTCTTTAAGGCATCACTCAGGTCTCTCTAAGATCTTAACAAAAGGTTTAAGTCACCCTCAGTTTCATCTATACACAGTGTTTTCTTGACTGTGCCCTGGATTCAATCTTTGCCTAGAAAGCATTTCTTAATTTTAGCATAGGCTAGGTGTGGTGGCTCAAGCCTGCAATCCCAGCACTTTGGGAGGCCAAGGTGAGGGGATTACCTGAGCCCACAGGTTCAAGAACAGCCTGAGCAACTCAGTGAGACCTCATCTCTACAATCAAAAAATAAATAAATAAATTAGCCGGGCCTATAGTTCCAGCTACTTGCAAGGCTGAGGTGGAAGGATCACCCGGGCCCAGCAGGTTGACGCTGGGGTGGCCGTGACCATGCCACTGCACTCCAGCCTAGGCGACAGAGTAAGACTCCAATTTAAAAAAACTAAAAAAAATTTTAGCATAACTTGCCATCTGGAGAGACTGGGCATTTTCAAAGCCTGCCAATCCTGGCTCCTTTACGTTGAAGGGTTTGGGTTTTTTTGATGTTGTTGTTTTGTTTTAACTTTATCTCTCTCCTCTCTTACTTTACTATGAGAAGCAAGAAGCAGCCAGGCAACAGCTTCAACATTCTGCCTGAAAATCTCCTTGATCACTCAGTTCATTAGGGACATTAAACTTACCAGGTTATTACCAATAACAGTGTTGCAAAATGTTCTATGTTCTATTGCTATTTCATAACAGAAATCCTGTTTCTTCCAACTAAATTTCATCACTTTCCTTTCAGCTACCCTGGCAGCTTCCTCAAAATGCCATCAGACTTCTACTTACAGTCTCTCAAAGCACCTTAGACATTCACTAACACTCTCTTCAGAGTCCTTCTAACCCCTGACCACTGCCCATTCCAAGGCCACACCCACATTTTAGAGTTGTTTTGTGGCAGCACTTCTCTTCTAGGTACCAAAATCCGTATTAGTTACGTATTGCTGTGACGCAGATTGCTGCAGAATTTAGTAGCCTTAAACAATAATCACTTATTGTCTCAAGGCCTCTGTGGGTCAGGAATATGGAGTGACCTAGCTGGGCATTTCTGGCTTGGGGTCTCATGTGAGGTCTCAGTCAAGATGTCAGTCAGGGCTGCAGCTGACTGAGGGTTTGGAGCCAAAAGATCCACTTCCATTCACATGGCAAGTGGGACTGTCTACTGGCAAATGACCTCAGTTGCTCTCCGTGTGGGTGTCTCCAGAGGGCCTTTGGGTGTCCTCATGATATGATGGCTGGCTTACTCCAAAATAAATTATCCAAAAGAGCAAGGTGAGAGATGCTGTGCCCTTCATGATCTAGCCTCAGAAATCACATGTTATCACTTCTGCAATACTGTAGTGGTCACCGGGTTCACAGAATGGGGGTCTGAACAAGAGTACTAATAAGGAGGTATAGATCAAGGCTACCATGGGTAAGGCACTTAGTGTCTCTCAAGCTGCAAAAGAATAGCAATACCTTCCTCAAGGTATGGTTATGAGGATTAAGTAAGACAGTGTACCTGCAGTGCAGTGGCTGCCAAGCATAAATACTGGCAGCTCCGATTGATACTGTCTTTGATGGTATCTCCCTCAGGCTGCCAGGAGATAGCAGAGGAATTCCGTGCCCAGGAAATCGACGGGCAAGCTCTGCTGCTGCTCAAGGAGGACCACCTGATGAGCGCCATGAACATCAAGCTGGGGCCTGCCCTGAAGATCTATGCTCGCATCAGCATGCTCAAGGACTCCTAGGGCTGGCCAGGGCAGCCAGGATTCTGGCCCAGGCACCTTCTCCCGACTGAGTAGAGCCAGACCGACATTCCTGAGGGACCCAGAAACAGGGCCAGTTGGAGGGAAGGGGCTCTCCCTAGGGGTGTGGCTGGTGAGGCGGTCTGGGTACCTCCTCCATGGCTCTCAGGGGCCTTTCATTTCTGTGGGAGAGGCAGAGAGGTAGGTGGCACAGAAGATGGGGCTTTATGCTTGTAAATAATTGATAGCACTGGCTTCCTCCAAAGTCCCAATACTCTAGCCCCACTCTCTTCTCCTCTTTCTGTCCCCCATTTTCCTGGGGGTATATGGTCAGGGCTCCCCAACCTGAGTTGGGTGACTTAAAGGGCAGCCAGCAGGCCTGGATGGAGGCCTAGAAAGCCCTTGCCTTTCTCCCTCCCACTTCATTCTCCAGGCCTGGTTAACTCTTCCGTTGCTGACTTCTCCCCTTCATCCTGTTACTGCAGCAGCCAGGGTTCTCCCCCTACACCCTCTGCAAAGTGGAGAGAGAGAAGTTGGGCCCAGTTGGGCCGTGCCTGCTGGCACAGACGCCTTAACGCTGTGTGTATGACTGTATGACTGTGTGGGAGCCTGGACTGACAGGCCAAGAGCTACTCTCTGGCATCTCCAGGTGTTTTGTAGCAAACAGCCGCTTAGTGCTTTGTCCTGGACTCCACTCAGCCTCAGGATAGGGAATGGCCAAGAAGGGCAGCCTCAGTGTGAAGAGGCAAGATCAGAAGCAGATGAAGAGTAGGAGGCTTTCCTTCCAGACATGTCAGGATGTCTCTGACGCCCCCTCCCCACACTGTGAAGTTTCCCTGACTAGTGTCCTGGCTCACAGCATTAGGAAAGCTGCCACTGGGCTGGGCCTCCTGGTCTGCCTGCTGCCCACCCTGGGAGCCCCATTGGTGTGGCCTGGAGAACTTCGAAGGGGAGAGAACAGCTGGCGTTACTGTTGTGTGAAGAAGACACTTGGCCTCCCACTCCCACACTTCTTTGCCTAAAACTTCCTAGCAGCAATTTGAGCTACCTGAGGAGGAGGCAGGGCAGGAAGGGCGAGGCCTGCCTCTGACTTGCCCTGTCCTTTGCAGGCTCCTGGGGGTGTCCTTTGCAGGAAGAGGGTTGGGGCCTTTCTCAGCTTGTTCTATTCCCCGCCCACACCCCCAAGCAGGGTTGGAAATGAAGGACTTTTTTAACCTTTGGTTTTGTTTTTTAAAAATAAATCTGTAAAATCTGTCTTTCCTGTGCCTTTCTCCCCTGGGGATGACGTCTGTATCCTCACCCATATGCAAGGGGTGGGTCCCCAGGGAAGGGACCTTAACTGGACAGCACACCCTCCGTGCTTGCTGGGGCCAGGTCATGGAAGGGTCTCTCCATAACAGCCCTTGGGACAGCTTTGGTTCACTAAGCACGGAATTTCCAAGCATTTTTTGGATGCTCGAATAGAAAAATGACAGAGAAGATGACCCCCGCGACTTGAGTCAAGAGCGAGAAAGGGAATCCCAGACCAAGGCAGTATATGCAAAGGCATAAGCACTGAGGGTGTGCCAGTGGTGGGGTGGGGGGGCAAGCTGCTAACAGCAGCTAGTGCTGACCCTGCACCTCTGAACCAGGCCTATGCTAGAAACCAGGCTGGGTAAAGAACAAAGTGACCGAGTGCCCGCACCTGTAGGTGAAGCGGAAGGGAAAGGAAGCAGTGTGGCCCCACGGCAGGTTTTTTCCTTAAGGCAGTGTTTCCACCTGTTAAGAATGTGGGCTTTGAGGGGAGGCCCCAGCCAACTGAATCTCAGTGTCTGAAGGAAGATTGAGCACAGTAACTTTTAAGAACCCATGCCCATATCTTGATAGCTCCTCTCTGGAAAGCTTGTTAAACTATAACTTACCTGGAGAAGGAGGAGAAACAAACAGATTAGTTGATCCCCAGAAAGTGGAACCAGGAACTGGAAAGCCTAGTGTACTAGAAGGCAGGGAATGGTTATCAGGACCCTGAGCCAACAGAGAAGGGAGAGGATTCCCAGGAAGACCTGAGCTTGTTCTTATGTGTTTGGTGAGGAGGGAGAGAACCAAAACTCCTAAAAGATGTGGATTAGACCTAACACGAGTATTCTTTACTTTGGACGAAAAGCCCCAACCTACTGCAGGTTTGAAGGGTACATCCTTCCATGTTATGTATATACTCTGGTTTACGCCATTACACGAGATTTCACAAACCTTTTTCCATCATGATGCAGTTTTAAAATTTCATTAAACAAAACATACGCTGTATACAATTCATTCTGATAGTTTCTTTTCTGTTCTCTTCGTAATTCATACTTTTAAAATCTTGGTCACAATGCACTAAACTGATTTCATAGCCCTCTGATGGGTCACAGCTCACACTTTAAAACACTGCCCATAGTAAACTTTACAGAACTCTTGCACATCCAGGATCATACTTGGTCCTCACGCTCTCCTGGGTGACTGGTATAGGTATTTACAGAGGAGGTAAAGGGCCCCATGAGGTGAACCGTCCCAGGTCACAGGTGTCCAGTGCCCTTCAGATCTGGCTGAGGCTCTGCTGAACAAGGTTTTTTCCTGGGTGGCAAACACCATACTCTGATCCCTGGCCGTTACCAGGAACTGAAAGACACTGGAGAAGGGCTCAAGGACCCCTGGAGAGGGAAGAGCAGTCTGCAAAATAACTCGGAGGCTCCAGCCAACCAGAGCCAGCCTACACAGATCCACCCTCTTCCAGGTGATTGGCCCCAAAAGGGCTGCCAGCCCCACTCCACAGGGTCAGCTTCCTCTAGGCCCCACCCCCAGACAGGTTCCTCTGGCAGTCCATCCCTGGCAGCCCCTGTGGGTGCAGTTCCTGAGGCAGGCAAGCAGGAGCAGCCTTGTTCTGGCCTCCTAGAACAGGCCCTTCCATTCTTAGCTCGGAGCTGAGAGCACCCACTGCCGGCTGTCCTACCAGCTTCTTCATATGGCTCTCAAGGAGGGATGCAGGTGAGCAGGGACACTGGTGTGGGGAGGAAAAAGGTGGGGACAGCTGACCTAAGACAATCCAGTCTGGTGGCCAAAACAGCCCAAATGGGAGGTACCAAAGCCAGTCATGGAGCACTAGCTGAGTCACAGGTCCTGTGAAAGGTGGCACCAAGAGGGGACACTGCCCAAGCACTAGAAAGACAGTCAATGTGGACAGACACTGGAATGGGGGAGACTGCATCGCAGGAGGCCTTGTAGCCAGTGAAAAGCTGGACGCCTTAACTCTGAACTCCCATGGCAAGCCAGAAAGCAAAGGCCCAGGGGACACGTTTCCTCCCTCACTGTACCTGAGAGCTGTATTTCCATCTCCCCTGGGGCTGATTGTCCAGGACTAGAAACTTGTTCCCCATTAAGAAATAATGACTGATCTTTAACCCTTTCTTGAAAGCAAGGAGAGTAGGAGGCAGGGCATAGGGTGGGGCTTGAGGGACCACCTTTTGCAGGTAGAGCTGGGGTGGACTGGGACCTTCTGGAAGTATCTGGCCAAAGAGTGTGGAAGAGGGCACAGGCAAGGTCTCTACTGATTAAGGGTTCCACAGGTTGGGAGAGGGCGAGGGGAGCCAGTGGATCCTACCCAGGCCTGGGTCACAGAATCCTCCCCCACCTGACCACTGGAGCTTGCCTGGGCCACTCAGAGCCGCTCTGCCTGGCTGCCCTGGCTAAGGCCCAGTGCCCGAGATAAGCATCGGCTTACCCTACCCTAGTTGGGAGGGGATAATGAAGAGGGTTAGGACAGCCGTAGAGGGCAGGAAGAGCCCCCCCTCCAACTCCAGTCTTTTCCTGCCCCTGCGCACTTGCTCCCTACTCACAAATCTCTGAGTGCACCTCCTGAGGCAACCTTGCCAGCGGCCAGTACTAGGTTGGACTTCCAGGAGCTGGAAATACCCAGCTGCAGTCAGTCCTCCAGGAGCTTAGGAGCTGAAGACACAGTGGGGAGAGGGAAGACTTCTTGTAAGAGAGACACTGACTGGCCAGAAACATGAGGTGACTTGGGAAAAGCCAAGCATATGGAGAATCACAGGGCCAGGGACCCTTGTGAGAGGAGCTTCAGGGTCAAGCTGGGGCCAGGTCAAAAAGGAACCCAAATACCATGCTGGAAGCTCAGGCTCAGGGGTCAGACTGACCTGCTCAAAGCTCAGCCACACCAATTACCAGTTGTTGACCCTGAGCAAGTGTTTCAATCTTTCTGAGCCTCAGTTCATCATTTTTAAAGTAGTATAATCACAGTATCTCCTTCAAGGGGTTGTGGTCAGACTTCAATGAGACAGGCAAATGAAACACTCTGGTCTGCTGAGCTCCGTGGCTTCTGGTCAGCAGAGTATCTGGCTTAGTAACAAAGAGTGTAGACTTAGTCTTGAAGAAAATGGTGTCTTAAGCACAGGAGTAACCTGGCTGGAAAAGAGAATGAAGACAAAGAACCTGTTCGTTGTTTCATTTACTGAACAAATAATTATTAATACCATGAATTATGATGCAGGCTCTGAGATCTGGCACAGAGAATGTGAAGTCTGGGAAAACACAACTCAGCCTAGTGCAGCAAACAGCCTCCAAGTGCTGGAAGAGAGGGCTGGAAAAGCACAGAGGAGCGTGCTGGGGGAGGGGCTAGAAGGAGATGTCACAGCAGGCTTCAGGCAGGAGGAAGCTAGGCCCTGAGAAATGGTTCCGAGATGGTTGGTAGGTGACAGGAAAAGAACAATCTGGGCAAAGACACAAAGGTGGTGAGGACACGGCCTTAGCAAACTTAGGAAGCTTCATGGTGAGGCATGAAGGCTCAGGGCTGGGAGGCAGGTGGAAGACTGATCTAGGAGTCCAGATGAGAAACAGTGAGGCCTGAATAGGACAGGCATTGACAAGAGGTGAGCTTCAGGCACTAGGAAGGAAACAACTTGGTAACTGAGTGGCTGTGGGGGAAGGACAATGTCCCACTTGGGTCACTGGGATCAGTCACTGAGAACACAGAAGGAAGAAGAGACTGGAGAAATGCAAACTGCAGCATAAGAAGCACCAAGTCTCAGGTGTCTGTGGGACACCCAGGTGGACATCACTGTCTAGGGGACACATGATACCTAAGGTCAACACTCAGCAAGAGCACTGGGCTGGGGTCACTGGTGGAGAGAAGCCAAGTGGTGAGAGAGGAGCACAGACACCTGCAGTTGACATCCGAATGGCATGGACAAGCCTCGCAGACACGAAGGGGAAGGCTGGGCAGCTGGTAGAACAGGCAGGTGCCAGAGTGGTGGGATGGGAGAGGAAGCGGCAGGGGCCAGAAGCCATGGAGCTCAGCAGACCAGAGTCCAGGGCGTGACTCGACTCTAAGAGCGAGAAAAGTCACAGGAGGCCTGGAAGTGGGGAGAGGCTTGTTCTCATTTGTTTTTCAAAGATCATTCTGGAGAACAGATTGCAGGGAGCAAGAACAGAAGCAGGGATGCTAGTGAGGAGGCTGGTAAAGTTATCCAGGTGAGGAAGACGATGGCCAGGAGCGGAATGGGAGGACTGTGTGTGTGCAACACCCCCAGGGCTTGCTGGTAGCCTGCATGTAGGGATGACAGGGAGCAGGAGTCAAGGAGGACTCCTAGGTATCCATAGAGATAAATTAATATACATTTTAACTATTTTTATTTAACCCAACATATCCAAAATTACACCTGTGTCTTTTTTTTCACTGTTTATCTGGCTACTAAGAAATTTTAGATTACATATGTGGCTCACATACCTCCAGTGGATGATGCTATTCTAGATCTCACACATCACAGAAGAACACAGACATACAAGGCTGTAAGTGCATGAATACCCTGGTACAGGAGTGGCCCCTCTCAGAACTGAGGTCTGCCTCTACATATTAGTTCTTGCTCTTTTTTCCAACTAATGCACTAGGGTCTCTTTTGCAGAGTATATATAAATCTACCTAAACTTTTTTTTTTGAGTTGGATTCTCATTCTGACACCCAGGTTGGAGTGCAGTGTCATGCTCACGGCCACCGCAGCCTTGATCTGCTGGACTCAGGCAATCCCTCCACCTCAGCCTTCCAAGTAGTTGGAACTACAGGCATGCGCCACCACACCCAGCTAATTTTTTGATATATTGTAGAGACGAGGTCTCGCCATGTTGCCCAAGCTGGTCTCAAACCCATGACTGCTCAGGCAATCCTCTTGCCTCTGCCTCCCAAAGTGCTGAGATTACAGACATGAGCTACCCTGTCCCACCTATCTAATCCTTTTTAATGGCCATTTTGATCTCCCTTATACAGGCTGAATATCCCTAATCCAAAAACCTGAAATCCAAAATGCTCCAAAACCTGAAACTCACGGAGCATCTTGGATCACAGATTTTCAGATTAGAGATACTTAACAAGTAAGTATAATGCAAATATTCCAAAATCAAAAATATCTGAAATCCAAAACACTTCTGAGGGCTATCTAACCTGTATAAATATACACCAACCCTGAGGCTATTGCATCATTTGCTTTTTCAGACAATGCTACAGGAATACCCCTGGACTGTTCATTGTGGAGTCTCCATTCCTAGAGGCAGGAAAGCAGGACCAGGGACTGTGAGCACTGACAATGTTACAGTGGAGGGGACAGATTTAGAAGCCTTCTGAGTCACAGCTAAGAGATGTGGTCTCCGTCCTGCAGTCAGCAGGAAGCCATAAAACAGTTTGGGTCTTTTGGTAAACTGCTTTGAATTTTTTTTTTATTTAAAAAAATATATATTTTAACAAGTACATTACAGACAACTGGGGAGAAAATAAAGGGGGAAAAAATCTATAGTCTTACTGCCCAAATACTCAAGTTTTTCCTCTTAGTTTTATTTTCTGGTGCAGGTTTTTATTCTCACTAAATTGTAACCCTGGTGCACACTAATTTTTAGATCTTGCCTTTTGCCTCTAACAACCCTGTGGGAGCATTTTCCCCATGACTGCAGAGTCTTCACAAGTTTTCGTAGCCATCCCTTCAGCTGGATACTAGATCCTTCTTCAGCTGTATCTGAGCAGCTCAGACAACACCCTCTCCAGGGAAGCTTTCCAGACAGCATGCAACCGAGTTCCAGCCTCAAGAAACACACTCACACCTCCATGAATCCCAGCCCTCTGTCCCACTCAAGCTGCCATCCCGTCTTCCTTCTGACCACCCTGCACTTCCCACTGGAGTCTTGGCTCTCACTCCCTCCCCATTGGGTCTGGGCCTGGGCCCTGGCCTCCTCTCCTCCTCTCCCTCCGAACCCTCCCTCTCTCTGGTGACATCCCTGCCCTCCTGGTGAGCCCCAGAGCTCTCTGAGCCTGCCTGCCTCCAACCACACAACCAGCGTCTTCCCTTTCCTGTTCTCTAGCTGTCCCTCTACTCAATGGCCAGGTCCTGCTCCTGTGCCCTCCTTGACAGCCCTTCACCTCCCAGTCCTTCCCACCCAGCTGCCAACACACTGGCTCAAGCCCCTAATGGCTCCCACAGCCTGGCACCCTGGTCTCTGATTCGCTTTCCTGCCTCCAGCCCTGCCCTCCCCCCCTCCACCACTGCCAGGTTCAACAGTTCAGTTGGAGTACTTTTTTCTTTTTTCCAAATAAAAATCTGATGTGCCACTTCCTGGAGGAAATACCTTTCAGGGCTCCCCATGGCCCTCAAGATGAAGTTCAAACCCCTGAGCCTGGGATGCAAGCCCTAGGTGACCTAGCCCTGGCTCACCTCTGCTGCCTCATTTCTTGCCACTCTCATCTGCCCTCTATACTCTGTCCCTGATGAACAACTTGCAGTCCTGCAAACATTCCAAACGTTCACATTGCTCCCTCTCCACTGCCTTCTTCACCTAATTCAGATCCTAGCTAAGAGGTCACCTCCTCCAGGAAGCCTCCTGATTTCTTCCTCATCTACTAAGGCTTAAGGGCTACTCTCCAATTTGCCTCATAGCATCTAGTGTTTATCCTAATCACAGCATTCACTGTGCTGTGTTCCATATACCAGTTTTCAGTCTGTCATGTGACACATTCCCTCACCCCTCCCTGATTACAGTCACATCAACAGGGTCTGTGTCTCATTCACCTCTGAATCCTTGACCTAGCACAGTGCTTGCTGCTGAACTTGTGCCCAATAAATGTATGTTGAATGTATGACCAAACAGGAACCGGTGAACATCTTGATGCATAAACTTTTTCCATATTGAAGATTATCTCCTTAAACGGATTCCCAGAAGTTGGGAATTACTGAATCAATGGGTTTGACTAGTAAAAGTTTTCAATTCCCCCAGCTAAGTTGTTTTCCAAAAGGCTTTGCAATTTTCATTCCCATCAGCAAGTGTCAGAGTGCCTATCTCACTGTTTTCTTGCAGCTTGGCTATTTCCATTATGTCTATTTTAAAGGTGCTCATTTTATAGGCAAACCATTCCACCTTGTTCTAATTTGTATGTCTTTGATTACTGGTGAGGGTGAACCTTTTTCCATATATTTGCCTACTGAATGCATTTCTTTGAGGATCTGCCTGTTTATGTGACGTGGAAGCTGTTAAGGCAGGTTGACTTTTTTTACAGATGACTCTGGGGGCTTTGCAGGAAGTAAGTGGAAGCAGGAAGGACGCTCCTGCAATGATCCTGGTAATGAATGAGCAGGCCAGGAGCACTATGGGGCCCCCTCGGGAAGAGCAGGAAGGGCAGAGAGCAAGGAGGCCAAGTCCACCCAACCTGGGGCCTGGTGGGTGCACAGCGGGAGGGCGTGGAGAACACCTAAGTTTCTGTCTTGGCCAGGTGAATAGCAGGAGGTGCCATGTGCTGAGAAGGTAACCCACTGGACACACACCCACACCTGCAAGGTGGTTCTCAGAGCTCTTTACTAGATATACCTGCTGAGTGCCATGGGATAGCAGAAAAGACTGGGCAGGAGGGTCTTCTTGAAAGAGACCAGGAGGAGTCAGATTTTGGAAGGATTTGCAGGGCAGGTAGTAGAGACAGAAGGTTGTCCAGGGGATGACAAGGGTCTGTTCTGGAAGAAGGATCATCATCATCATAGGTTAAAGTTTAGCGAGTCATTACAATGTGCAAGGCCTTGTTCTCATCACGTAGCTTCAATGGGCACTCAATGTCCATAACAGCCCTCTTAGACAGATATTATTTTCCCCAACTTATAGATGAGGAGACTGACATGCAGAGGGCCAGAACTTGCCCAAGGTCAGACAGCTAATGAGTGGTGGAGCTGAAATTCAAACCTGAGGATCTGGCACCTTAGCATGTTGTTCGGGTCTCTCTAGCGACATGAGCACTCCACAGGGGAGGGGTGATGGAAGGAACTCCCCAGGAAAATCTTATTAAGATTCTCAACACTTGAGGACCTTTCTGGAAAACAACTAACCATGGATGAATCCCAAAGCCGACTCCTCTGAGCCAAGAACAGGGTTGTGGAGCTCCTCTGGCAGAATTTGCCCAGCCTGGTGACTCGAGCTACCAGAGACACGTGGTCTCTGACAACAGCCAGCTCAGCAACTCTTCTCTTAAGTCCCAAAGAGCTCTTAACTCCCAGTTATTAAGCAACAAACAACCCACATCCTCTCACAGCCTCTCCTGTCCAAGGTCAGTCCTACCCCAGAACCAGGTTAAGTACCCTTGTCCCCCAAACCTGCCCAGAGTCACACCCTGCAGCACTGCTGAAGAAAGCAAAGGATCAGACATCTAAATGCTCATCCTAAGGGCCTGGCTAGGTGAATTATACTATCTCCAGTCCATGGCATCCTAGGCAGCAGGACAAAAGGGGAGGAACGTCTTTAAGCAACAAGATGGAATAACCTCAGAGATGGGACAGTCAGTGAAAAGCAAAAGGTGCAGGACAGCATGCCCACTGTGATGCCATTTGTGGGGGAAAGGAAAGCAGAAGAGCAAGTATTGCTACCCTATTGATATTTGCCTGTATATGCACAATCTTCTGAAGGAAATGTAAACTGGTCACACTGGCTGCCTCCAGGCAGAGAAACTGGGTGGCTGGAAAAAGGAAAGGTTTTCACTATATATACTCTTCTACCCCTTTGAATGTCTGTACCATGTGAATAGGATATATTCATATTTATTTATTTTGAGTTAGAGTCTCACTTTGTTGCCCAGGCTGGAGTGCAGTGCTCAGGGCCACCGCAGCCTCGACCAGCTGGGCTCAGGCAATCCTTCTGCCTCAGCCTTTCAAGTAGCTGGAACTACAGGTATGCACCATCATGCCTGGCTAATTCCTCTTGATTTACTGTAGAGATGAGGTCTCGCCAAGTTGCCCAGGTTAATCTCGAACCCATGAGCTCAGGCAATCCTCTCACCTCAGCCTCCTAAAATGCTGAGGTTATAGGCATGAGCCACCATGCCTGGCCTATATTCGGATTTAAAAAACAAAATGAAATTAAAATTACACAAATAATTTCTCATACATGTGTGCATACAGTGTGTATATTTGTAAATGAGTTGCTGATGCCCCTATCCCCAGGGCATGGAAGAGAATCTTCTGGCGGCAGATCCTACTTGCACTTGGCCTATTAGGCCTGTTCCTGTATGGGCTCCCCATAGTCAGGTAAAAGCCTCTTCCCCCAGCATCTGAGGTGGGACTACCAGGGTCAGGGTTAAAGTGGATCTTTCCACCTGCCTCCTTGAGGGACGGGATGGGGGAATGCGGCTAGCTCAGCCTCGGCAAGGGTCCTTGTGGGCTCCCTCTCCTTGTATGGAGCACAATGAGAAGACTCCTGGACAGGTTGACATGCCCCTCACTGATGCCCCTACCCCACAGGAATCTGGAAGTCCTCATCCCCATGGGTGTCTGCCCTTTGACCACAATGCCCCTGCTGAGAGACAATTTCACGGGTGTCCTGCGTCCCTGGTAAGGAGCTACCATCCCTCTCATTCCAAGAGCACCCCCGAATCCTACAGAGCTCTTCCCCATGTCCCTGCCCTCTTCATATCCACCACCCCAGCAGAGCCAGGTGCTCCAGCCACCAACCCCGGTGGCCCCATATCTCCCAGTTCTCTGTCTCTGTTGTTCTGAACTAGGGGCTTCTAGGGGCTTCTAGGGGCAGGAACTAGGTCTGATCTGTCTGTGGGTCCCTAGGGCCCAGCACTGGGGAGGTGGCAGTGAGCATGTGCCAAGTGGGTAGATGAATGGAACTGTCTCTCATTCCTGCCCTGGCCAGGATCCGGCCTGAAGTCCTGACCTGCACCCCCTGGGGGGCCCCCATTATTTGGGATGGCACTTTCGACCCAGATGTGGCCCAGCAAGAGGCTGCACAGCAGAACCTCACCATTGGGCTGACTGTGTTTGCTGTAGGCAGGTAAGGCCTGGGGAGGGGAGCAATGCTGTCCAGGCAGGGAGTGGGAGGGTGTGCATGTGATGCAGGAGGTAGGGCACCCTGCTCCCCTGTGCCACAGGATCCCAAAGTGAACTAAAAGACAAAGGCAACACCCCTTGTCCCAGACTCCCAGAGTGCAGCACCAGCTTCCTCCTCCTTCCTCTGGACACCAGCACCATGGAGTGCACCCAACACACACAGCCAGGGGCTCAGAACCATGTCTAGAAAGGCCTGGAGCCAGTCCACCTGGAGGCACTGGGTTTGTGGTGAGAAAATAATGGAGTCTTTCAGGAAAGAGTGGTAAGAGGAGGGGGAGAGTGATTGGGTAAGCAGAGGGACGATCTGCTGCAGTGAGTGCCCACTGGGGGTCAGTGGTGCAGGTGCACAATGTGGGAGGAGGGGGTGCCAGGCAAGTCCAATGGAGGGAGAGGGGCTGGGGAGCTGACAGATTTCACAAGGGAGTAAATCTGAGCAGGCAAAAGAGGGTAGTAAAGACAGGAAGGGGGTGACAGATACTGAGAAAGTGGGGTTCACCAAATTAGAGGACTCACTGAGGTAGGATCGTTTGGGGGGGCACAGGTAATCAGAGTAAATGAGCTAGAAGAACGAAGTCCTTACAGAGTGGGGCAAACACTGATGATGACCACGCAAGTGACTGAGGAGGGTACAGGACAGAATCACTGCAGGAGAGGTAGTCAATCAAGGGACTGAGGGCCCGGGCAATGGTTGGGCCTCCGGATATGGAGAAAGAACCAAGATTGGTAGGTAAAGAAGAAATGGCAAGGGCACTGACTTCCCCATTATGGATGGGAGGGGCTGCCCAAGACAGGTGTTCACCTTCCAGAAGTGACACAAAGAGCACTTCTGGCTAAGAGGGGCAGTCACATCCTACAACCCTGAAGCCCAGAGAGGTAGAGTTTCATGCAATTAAGGGACACGTGCAAAAAAGGAACAAGCTGCTTTGAGAAGGCAGTGAGAGCTTCTCAAACAGGAAGAGATCCAAAAGGCTAGGGAAGAAATTTTTTTTGTCACATACCCTAGACAACTAACTCTGTCCCCTATGCCCTAGAAACAAAGAAAGCCAAGAGGGCCGCTGAAAAGCAGGGCAAAAAGGACCCAGGGCTGACCCATGGACCAGGTGGGCAGAACTGCTGGGCCACTTGGGGCCTTGGCCCCTCCCAGGGCCTCAGTCCCCCCACTTCCATTATGAATGCCGAGTAGGGTGCTCCTGCACCAGTCCTAGGGGTCAGAGTCTTGAGGTACAGAAATTTTGGGATCCTGAGGTCCTGCATTCCAAGATGCTCTGAGTCCAACACCCTGGGATGCTGAAGTTTCCTAGGTCTCTGGTTCCAGTTTTCCAAGTTACACTAGGATGCAGCAGGTGCAGGAACAGGCACAGGTTCCAAATCCTGGCTCTACCACTTACTAATTGTGCATAACATGTACCTAAAGGTCTTTAAATGAGATTTTGCACAATGACTTAAAATAGTGTCTACCACATGATACATGTTCAAGATTAGGCACTGCACTGTTACTATTATTTTAAAACCCTAGGATCCCACAGTCTGTTAACAAAGGATTCAGCTTTATAGCTCATATAATAATTTTGTGGGTCAGGAATTCAGACAGGGTTCAGTAAGGATTCCTCACGGCTCCCAAATGTCTGAGTCTCAGTTGGGAGACTAAATGCTGAAAACCAGTGCGGCACCTCTCTCTTCACAGTCTCTCTACATGGTTAGCTTGGGCTTCCTCACACCATGACAACATCAAATTCCGGGACTTGTTCAATGAAGGCTCAAAGAGCTAAAGAGAGTCCTCCAAAGGACCGAAACAGGGCAGGCGTGGCAAACAACCTACAAACAAGGACAGGAGGGACTGGAGTTCAACGGACTGCTGTGGGGGGACCAAGCAGTAGGAATGAGGGTGGAGGGGACCAGGTAGCGTGAATGGGGGTGGTGGGGGAAGACCAGGCAGCGCGATGGGGATGGTGGTGGGGGGAGACCAGGCAGCGTGAATAAGGGTGGTGTGAGGGGACCAGGCGAGGTGAACGGAGGTGGGGGGACCCGGCAGTACGAATGGGGGTAGTG